AGATTCCGCCACGCCTCCTTCACATGCTTAGTGTCGAGATACCTCAGCACCGTCTCCTCTCTTTTCCGCGTCGTTGTCGATGCCTCCCTGCACGATGATTCGCTCGCACTCCTCTAGGAACTTCTCCAACTTGGCAGGAGTCTTTCCATCGAAGCTAGGACAACCAGAATCCCATGTTTCAGGCACCTTGAACCGCACCGCTGCTCCTCCTTGAGCGTTTCTTCCTCCACCACCTCCGTTTCCACCTGCGCCACCCGCGCCACCTCCGTTCCCGCCATTTCCACCATTTCCATCGTCCATGTTTTCGTTGTTTTGTTGAATCGGAGGTTCGTTAAGCCGATTTGTGTTGATTTCGCTCTCTGATAAGTCGGTTAGAGGCGAAGATGGTGTCGGAGATTGTTGTTCTTCTTCGACAGTCGCTGAGTTTGTGTTGGTTTTGCGCTTTGTTGTAGATTTCGATTGAACGCGCTTTTGTGTTGATGCTTGAGTCGGTCTTTTCGACGAAGATGCTTGAGATTTTGTCGATTTTGTCGGGATTGTCCGATTTGATCGCCTTGCGAGTTACGGGTAGTCCTCGGTTTTCGCGTTCGCAGATAGTTTTTGGTACGAATAACGGTGTCGGTCTCAGTTCTCCAACTCCCGTAGTAGATTCGGAAAATCGTTCGGTTGGGAATCAGTTAGATCTCGCTGTTTCCCTTTTGGTGGTATTTTGACGTTCGATCCAAGCGTGTGGGCGCTTGCTTTTCTTCTCGCTTGTCACAAATTGCACGAAACCAAGTTTCAGCAATACTCGATCACCCCTCGCGGTGGGCTCCAGATGATGAGTGCGGAGTGGGGACAAAGCAAATGAGCCTCTAACTAACCAAACTAACAAAAACAACCAAAACTCCACTTGAGATAGAGAGAAAGTTGTATAATGTCGAGTAGGGAAAGTCACAAAACCCAAAAATATCGTCGACTCCTTGTGCGAGAACAGACCCCTGTGAACAGAGCCTTGGCACAAATGTGTAAGGTTGTAGGGTTGATACGAGTTTCTTGCGAAAAACGTTGATTTGTTGTGCCCCAAAGCGTACTATCGACGAAACTCAGCAATAGAGAAGCGCCAATACGATGCCCGGAGAGTTTATACTCGTTGGATCAGGACTAACTGCCTTAAACCCTCTGAGTTGTCTCGAGTCAGGAACTAACTGCCTTAAACTCTCGACCAGCAACCGAAACCCAATAAACAGCAACCGGAACTCTCTTTTAAACGGCAACCGAAACCCTCAACCAATAATCCTTCGACGCGATGATACTATTTCGAAAGAGCTAGCAAGATAAATTGACGAGCTAGATCCCCAGATGCACCTAGTAGAGAGGGGCAATCCGTGAACCTGCCAAATACAAAACAGAGGTATAAATACTAAACAGAAATTGATAGAATCAGGGAAAATCTCGAGTAAGAAAAGTCGTCCATGTGCATAATTGTATAGGTATCGTTTCGCCATACGACCCGGAGTCGAAAATCCAGGTCCAGATGACTGGTATCGCGTGTGTTGGAGTCAATGACCTGTGTAAATCTTCCGTGTTCGCGACCATCTAGTTTTGCTTGTGAAGAATCCCTCGATCTTGAGTAGGATAAGTGGATAGCTCTGCTTCCCAGCTTTCGATTGACACCCATAACTCGTATCTTGTGCGTATGGCCTCAGCGGTAGTTGTCCCAACTCTCCTGGCGCATTTCCAATGTTCAGATGATCAGTTCCTCGACAGTGTTTTAGAGTCGCCGTTGATCACAGGTCCAGGCCCCAATCAATTGAGTAGGTTTTTCACCGTTTAACCGTCCCTTGGCACTCCCGATCCTCCAGCATGATCCGAAACCACGTTCCAATGATGTCAGTCGTCGATACCAACAGAGATAGGGGTGGCCCTAGTCTAGGAGTTGTCGATTTCGAGTCTCCACTGAGCGCCAAACCGAATATGCCTTTTAGAATACACTCCCTTTGGGTATTTTGCATAGAATTGGATGGATTCTAGCGAGAAGCGGGCTCTGCGAACTTTTCCTAGTCAAGACTTTGGAATCACTATGAGCGATTTGATAGGATTTGACTGGATTTTGATATGTTCTTGTGCAGGTAACTCCCTAGTTGACCATTCGGGACTCATGTCAACTCTGAGACGTGCGCTGAGCAACAAAATCGACAAAAATAGTCGTTTCCTGGTCTGTCCCAGACTGCGGCTTATCACCGGCACATTTCAAAACTAACGGGTGTTTCGAAACCGTTTCGAAACGGGTTTCGAAACACTTCCAGCTCACAGCACCCTAGACCGGGAGGAAAGCTGCAAGGATTATTGCACGACAACAGCGCCTGATACCGTCGATGACGGCGGCCTATCAGAACATGACCCGGTCCCGGAAGACAAGCAAGAGGAGGGGAGCGGGTTGGGTGAACCTGGCGAAGACAGCGCGGCCGAGACTGTCGCATACTATGCTGTCAAGATGGCGGAGGAGGAGTCTTTGATCATTTGCGCCCGGTGTGGAGAGGACGGGAGGATGGCCATCAGGGAGGAGACGCAGTGGATGGAGGTCATGTGTGTCGAGTGCTTGGACATGCAGAATGTGAACGGGGAGAGGTGTACTTGGGATGTTCTCGACTGGGACGATGATAGCGATCGGTAATTCACAGTAAAAGTACTTTTATGAATCAAGTGTTTCTCCTTCGTTTTCTTTACTTACATAATAGACGCGAGACTCGAATATGTACATATTTGGCGCATTTGTATCTTTGAAACGCTTCTTCGTTAAGATTTACGCCTGACTTGGGTGGCTTTAGGTCTTTCGCTTTAGGTCTTTCCCAACATTGTTACCGGTAACTTGAATGTTGTTTGGTGTAACTAAAAAAAAGTAAGTATGCTAAGTGACTGATCCTCTCAGTGACGTTGTGCATATTCTTTAAGTTGGTCCAGAATCTAAACCTGAATCTATAACTTGATGTATAGTAGCACTAGTCGTCGAAGAGTGTCACTAAATACTTGAGATTGCTCCCAACCATTGGGAATCTGAGGTTCTCCACCACCCCCTGCTACGCACGAGAAGCGCTGACCCGCACATCCGCCTGTGTTGGAGTTGCTCACCAGAGGTTTGGTCAGGGTAATGCCCCTCGGCCAGGACCCCGCTGTTGTCCACTGTGTGGCCATTGCATCTTGCATGAAATCTCAGGGTCTCCAAGCGTTTGCTCCGCGGAGCGCGGTGCGGAGGCGAGAAAAGTCCGGAAGGCCCCAGGACCATAGGATTGTGTGGGTCCGGATCATGTCAACTGTGAGGTTGGCGATGATGTTGTCCATTGGGAGACGCTCTAGGAGCTGGGGCAAGTGGTGCTCAAAGTAAGCGGTCCAGCTGAGCAAGTGACCGTTCCCGAACGTGAGTCGCAGCGATGTGAGGGCTGGGAGCGCGGAAAAGTCAAAAGAGGCAATGTAGCTGGCTATTCGGGGTGGTCAGTCGTGCTCTCAATTCCAGTGCAAGCAGCGTGAATTCACCATCGTACTAGTACCCAAACTCGACGTGCAGAGCGGCAAGGTTGATGCCAATAGTGCTGATGAATGCTCCCATTAGGGCCAGGCGCGCCGAAGATATGGGCCCCCAGACGTGGACAGTGACGAGCTCCGATACCTGCAGAGCGGTCCAACTGAGGAAACATTCATCGCCCGACTTCGCCTCATCGGAAGGCACTCTGCTGGTCAAGCAATGCCAGCCTGTGAGCAATCAGTGTCAATGAGATTCCGTCCAAAGTAGTCTGTTGGTAGGTAGGAGCCAGCGTATGATGAGGAGGCGGAGGGATGGTCGGTTTGCTGTCTTGACGAAACGTCGGGGAATAGTTCCCGCGACTGATGATGTTGGCTGCGACAGAGAAGGGGTTGCACGGGCACGTGTCGCAAAACACAGGGTAAACAAAACATTTGCCGCACAGCACATTGGTAAAGTAGTTAATTAAGCCTGCATAGAAATGCGTCTTGCTGTGGAGGCCACAATTCTCCTTCCACAAGAGAGCCACACGTCTCGCTTGCACCGAAATTTTTTACGTGCCGATGGCCCTGGCCGATGATGCCCGAGGATTCCCAGGCATAGCCACCTTTCGTCTCTCATTGCTTCTTCCAACACATATTCCTGGTTTCATAACACGCAAAACACGGTCATCTGGGTGGTTCACATCAGGAAAAAAGTTTTCCCACAGTAGCCAGGTGGGAAGATATATAGTCAATATAACATCTGCATTTGATTTGTAGCAAGATATAGTTAACTGTAGCTAACAGTAGTGCAATATACCAATATGTAGCATCTGTAGCTAACAGAGAAGCAAACTGTCATTTTAACTTCAGCTGAAAAACATTTCAATTTCATAAGCAGTAAGTAGTGAACATGTTACTGGTATTGATAGTACCAGGGAAGTATGTAAATGTAAAACTCCTCACTCCTGTAGTATATATAGCAGATAGGATGTCTTTGTAGCATGCCTCCAAGCTTTGTAGTCAAATATTGCACAATGTACCCATGTAAGGACAAATATATTAGAAAGTGCTATTGTCTCAACAATGAAACTTTTTGCCTTGATTTACTTCATTTATGATAGGCACCACTTTATAACCATAGATTTAATATTTCCTAAGTGAGTATTACAAGTTTACTCTTCTCATTACTCTTCTCAAGAGATAAAAAACAATAGAAATATACACTCTCATCTGTTCTAGACATGTTTATTTTATGAATAAGGAGTGAGCATCTATTATAGACAACTTGCACCGAAATTTTTTACGTGCCGATGGCCCCGGCCAATGATGCCCGAGGATTCCCAGGCATAGCCACCTTTCGTCTCTCATTGCTTCTTCCAACACATATTCCTGGTTTCATAACACGCAAAACACGGTCATCTGGGTGGTTCAAGGCCGATGCATATTCCATATTCTACACAATTAACTTCTTCTATAGTAGGAACCATGATGTGAAGGAGAAAAAGAAGAAGAGAATTCTATATTTTTCGTGCCAGATACTCCTCGGCGACCTGCTTCACCTTTGGGTCCACCTTGTCGAGGATCTCCACCACCTCCTCCCATAGGAGCTCCTCCGACTTCTTCCCGAGGTCGCTCAGAACAAAGTCGCTCGGCTCGGTGGGTTTGCTGCCCATGATGAACTGTCCATGCAGCTTCTCTGGGTGGGCAGGCTCAGCTACGGCGCCGAATATGAGCTGTCGGGATCCTTGCTCTGCGGTGAACCCAAGGAGTGTGTGCATAAGCCACACGAGCGGGCGCAGGATGACGGGAAGGTCGCGCGCCAGCTCAGTCTTGCACATCCCGGGGGTGACGGTGTTGACGACAACGCGATGCGGCGAGACGCGGGCAGCAAGAGCACGAGTGAAGAAAACATTCAAGACTATGAGGCACAGTTAGTCGGACTCTGTAGACAAAGCCTGAGGTGCGCCATACGCTTGGTGATTGGATACCTCGCTCTAATCGCACTGCTTCCGCTTGAAGCTGGGTCAACTACTCTTATTGTCGCCAGCAAACGTAATACCTACTTTTCTTGGTGATAGGCCGCCCCGCCCAGGGTCCGTATGATCGGGTCCGAACCAGTCCACACCTTCTTGTCGAAGCTAGCCCAATAGTGGGCCTCGCTGGAGACGCCAACAACGCGCGAGACGGTGCTGTTTCTCGCGCGGTTTCGTCCAAGAAGACGAAGAACAACGAGGAGTGTGGTCCACACTCCTCGTACTGTGTGGAGAGGTCTGGCTGTGGAATGAGGATGAACGAAATCGAATCCATGGGGGCAAGCCGAGCTCAACGGTGGAACGTGTGGGAAGATCGAGAGAGGGCAACAAACAGGGTCAATGCGACTGCTGTTGTGTTGCGGGTCTTGGAAACGCTCCGCCAACCATCCGCATTACGAAGCGATATGACGCCGAGACTGTCATCGACGGCTTTTAGAAAATAACCGATCAGCAACGCAATACATATGAGAAAGCTGGCTGAGTCAAATCCGGAAATGGGGGGCATTAAAACAACTGGCAGAGGCTAACGCTATTGCTAACGTTCCAACAAAACATCGACATGTCTCTTGAACTTCCAGCATTTGGCTTCCACACCACTGCAGAGGAGGCTGCAGACGCGCTTTCAAGCCAGATTTCTGGCAAAAACGGTACATTTCTACTCGGGTTCCGCTAGAAAGATGCTCACTGTCGCTGTTATTTGCTAGTCCTCATCACAGGCACATCGCTGGAGGGCATTGGCTTCGAAGCAGCTCGGTCCATTGCGAAGTACGCCGCATTGGTCGTCATCACCGGCTACAACAAGGACCGGCTCCAGCTCTCCGTCGACGCTATTCGCAAGGATCAGCCCAGTGCCAACATTCGTGCCCTTGCGCTGGACCTCTCATCGCTGGCTGCTGTGAGAGAAGCTGCAAAGGAAATCAATGCTTATATCGAACCACTTCACGTATGTATCATTGACATTTTAGTAGACTACAATTAAATTAACTCCCTTGAAGGTCGTTATCCACAACGCTGCTGATTCCAGTGGTGTTTACCGTATCACGGCAGACGGCTTCGACGGCCAAATGGCGGTCGCCCATTTCGGGCCCTTCCTCCTGACCAAACTCATTCTCGCAAAGGTAGTGGCCAGCAAGACGGCCGGTTATACGCCGCGTATCGTTTTCGTCGCCTCCGTCGCGCATGCGATGGGCCCCGGAATTGAGCTCACTGAGGCTGCATTGTGCAAGCCGGCTGCGGGAGCGGAAGGGAGCTACTTCCTTCGCTATCACGAGGTCAAATCGGCGAACGTGCTATTCGCGCTGGGTCTCGCGAGTCGGGGCGCGGGCAAGATCAAGGCATACAGCTTGCATCCAGGGAGTGAGTGTTTCTCCGACGTTGTTGTATCAGTTGTTTAACCAGAGTCTCCAGCGATCTACACGAACGTCTTCACCAAGGAGTCGACGATCCCGATTCTGAAGGCTGTCGGTCAGTGCTGGGTTGTGCTGATTGACATGGATGAATTCCATCTTGACTATACCACAGGAAGCTTGAATGAGGATGGCAAACCCAATTCCGAGACGATCGAGTGGAAGACGATTCCCGAAGGTGCTTCAACGTAATGCAGTTTCTTCAAATTCGGCTTAGGGCTACTAACACTCTCCGATAGCACGGTCGCCGCTGCTTTCGATCCCCGTCTGGAGGGTTTGTTGACTCCATGTTCGTTATAAAAAGGGGCTCACCGGAAGTTTCTTAGATAAATCCGGCGCATACCTCGTTGATGCTACCGAAGCCAACGCGCAACGGACTTCCATCTGTGCTGATCTAGTGAGTCTCCAGCCCCTCCATTTTTGTGTACAATACTCAGCCGTTGTCCGTAGGAAAACGCAGAGAAGCTTTGGAAACTCACGGAACAGATCCTCGGCGAGGAGTTTATTCTATAATTCCCACTTGAAAGTATCGTTGTCCCTAGTACACAGCAAGGCGGCCTGGGCGTGTAAATGTCAGTTTACATTATTCGCTAAAATGGGTCGAGCTCTTGCTAGTAGCATTACGCTGGGATAAACAATACAGAACACGAGAAAATTCAATGAATTTTCAGTCCAGTTGCCTATACATCAGTCTTAGAACGACAGCGAGCCCAATATTAAGATACGAGTGTTAAGTATGTCCCTCAAACCCTACTTTAGGTTCTCTTTTATCCACTGGCCATACGGAACCATCTTCAATGGAGCCGTCCCCTCGTTCCAGCTCGCTATCCGCTTTCCCGATATCACCGACACCGTCGAGCTCATCGTGCCAACAATGCCCAGCACCATCCGATGTGTCTGCATCGCCGAGTCAATCAGAATCGGATACCACATCCCATACTTCTCAACCGTCTGCAGCTCTACATGGCTCGCCCTCGCCCAACCCTCGGAAGAGTAAGCAGCCTGCGCCTGTGCCCACCATGTCTCGTCCTGCTCGTCTGACATAAGCAGGACGTGTTGGACGACGACGCCGTTGGATGCGAGCAGCTCTGCCTGCATTTCCTTCACACGCATATGGTAGAAGGAGATTGGCGCGTAGCATTCTTCGGAGGGGAACTTGTCGCACGTATTTGGGTCTGCACTGTCCTAAAGTTATCACCAAAGTCTAACAATAAAGTAGGATAGGACATACAAATCGCCACGACGGACATGAACAGCGATGAATGGTGGGATGGGGGCGTTTGTGGCCTCGAGACCGAATGCGTGTCGCAGATAGTCATCCGACAAAGAGAGTATTTGTGGTGTCCAATGGAGGTGTTGACCCACAAGCCGCCACGCAGCGCTCCACTCATATTGGAGGTCGTGTTCTTCGATCTCGCACACCCAGTAAAGATTGTCAAAGCAGAAAAGATGTTCGTTCGGAGGGAGTGTGTGGTTGAGTAGCGGAGAGTGTGTGGGTGGAATTAGATGCTGGTTGCGTTTTGTCGGGAACGTGAGCGCCATGAGGGCCGAGAAGGATAGATGTGGATTGTGTGGGTCAGAAGAAATCTTCGTCCAGTTTGGTGCGGTTGTGTATGAAACGTCTAGTGCAATAATAAGACAAGCCCCAGATTCATTTGGTCGACATACCAAGCTTGAGACGGTGAGGACTTGCTCGTCGGTGGTGCTTGTTGGTGACCAGCGCCTCCCAGCACCCCAGAGGGTCTACAATGTCGCTTTCCCGGTCCTTCACCTGCCACCACTCCAACACCGCCTGATTCGTCAACCGGCTGTACCGCGGGAGATCGAAAACTTCTCCGAAGTCGAGGTCGGGTCCAGAGAAACCGTCGATTTGGCTGGTTTCCGGGCCAAGAATGTGTGTTGGCACGAAATGGGGGATAATGGGGACCCGTTGAGTGAGAAGAGCAAGGTACAGTAAGTGGATCTTGATTGGATGAGTAGGAGAAGGACGGGTAGAAAAGCGGTCTTACGAATATGATAACGTCGTTGGCTTGTAATAGTGAGGAAGTGGTATGTGAATAACATGGCACTCACTGAAGCCAGCATGCACCCACGTCGTGATATACTGCACATCTGGGCGCAGGTTGTCTGGGTTTGAAGTCAGTTATTCTACTCGAGAGTGAGGAAGAGAAACACACCGGCAAAAGCCCTCGTCGGAAACCCCTTCAATAACACCGGTGGCCCAGGTGCCTTCCTTGTCTCACCCCGCAAGAAGCTTTCAGGGGAGCGCAAGTAGAAGACAGAGGCCAGGACCAGGACGGCCACGAATACGCGCACAGGCGAGGACAGAGGAAAACGAAGGACAGCCCGAGCCGATGGGCGCATTGAGAGATGTGCTCCTGTCTCGCTCCGGTCTTGCACTTTCTACGAAAGGGGCTGCAGTCATATCCACGTTAGATTGTGCAACGACAGTTCCACCGCATGTGCACTCATGGGTTCTGGGCCGCGAAGAGGAAACTTCATGACAGTCTTGTGGAAAGAATTTGGTGGCGGTGCTACCTGTCGATTCTCTTTCCTCTCCTTCAAAGATGGCCGTAATGTGTAGGCTCCAATGTCAACCAATGTCCTTGCTCTTAATCTAGAACGGTTTTGCCAGCTCCTCCAGTCAAAGACGGACAATACTACTTCGAACACGGCGACTGCACGTTTCTTGTCGAGCAAGTTCTGTTCAAAGTTAGTTGGATAGAGACGATTGCGCCAGAATACTACTCAAGCTCCGTCCAGCTTCCTCGCTTTGCGTTGTGTCAGGACGCCAACTCAATGTTTGCAGATATGTTCGCCGTCGCAAAGGACGACGACGACTTGGCACCCATTCCGCTGGACGATTCCGCAGAAGATTTTCGTGCCCTCTGCTGGGCGATGTTTGCTCGGTGTGTAGTCTTTTCTTCACAAGTGATTGAGTTTAGAGTCCTGATAAGCTACTCCAGACCTACCGAAATGTACAAAATGCTCGCCAAACCGGGCGACATTGATGTACAGATGTATCTTCGTGTGCTCGACATCGCGCATAAATACCAGCTCTTGGAGTACGAAGCGTGGGCGTGGATGATGGCGCGTCATGCCTCCGATGCGGTGCCCGCCCGCCTCAAGATCGCCGCTGAAGACGAACTTGAACACACGCTTATGCTGGCCGTTCGCTGCCAAGATTCCGCACCCGAGCTGTTGGAGCTTGTCGAGTCTACCTGGCTTGCGCGCATCATAGATGGCTCCCTCCCCCACAGTCGAGCCCTGACCGCAGGCGAACTGTATGGGAGGAGAAAGTTCCAAGGGGAGATATACTGGAATCTCCGCACTAGATTGACTAGAGGGCCGCAAATTGCGTCTCCAAAGCTCGGATTCTCCGCCTTCAACCTGACCGACACGCAGCTCAATAGGCTATTGTTAGGACATGCCCTGCTGTCTCACTGTATGCGAACTGCGGCCGACAGACCCTATCTCGTGCCACGACTATCAGATTGCCACGACCACAAACCCTGCCAAACGTTTTGGGACAAAAGCATTCCCTATCCCACCCACATCGGCGACCGGAATTGGATTTACGGCGGCCAAAATGCCTTGGAAAAGACTCTTCCGGACAGCCCATTTTACCGCTACGAACTTGAATGCGTTGGATCTCATTTGCGATCCATGGCCTCGGAATCAAATGAAATACCTGATGACCTTGCTAGCTACTTCTTAGGACCAGACCCAAGCAGTCCATAGCTTGATCTGTATAAACACCCATGTTCAATGCTCCGCCTCCATGTATTCTCGTTCCTCCCAACCGGCGTTAGGTCAATCCACATTGAATTAGCCTTTGTCCAGCAACAAATGGAGAGTAATACTGACAGGTGAACGTTATAGTCATTTTCTTTGTGTTTATGCGATAGTCCCCGCTGATGCTAACAACAAAGAACAAAGCTCTTAGTAAGGGATATAAGACGCGACGAAGACGACCAGAGGTTACAACATTCTTTTTCCACGTCTCATTCGAAAAGTTCGAGGTTGATCCTCGCCTCTGCCACATCCAACTACAACAACGCCACTTTCTTCATGAAACCAATGGCCACTCCCGGAGAATCCTCATCATCGTTTCCCCCATGCGAAAGCCTGAGGCAGGCCTCAAGCCCACAGCCAAGTAACGCCTCCAGCCAAACACTCGAAAGCTCGCAGTTGGAACAAGACGAAATATATTATATTCCAACGGGTGATGTCACGATCTGCCTCGAGGGAGTGGTTTTCAAGGTACCGCTTTGACACGCCGCTCGTTCGTCATATGTAACACCGGCAGGTACACCGGGCAATCTTCTCTCGCGACCGCGACAGCCACTCGTCCGACACCAACCGCCAGATTTTCAACGGATCCGCGGAGGATTTTCGCGTCTTTTGTTGGGCTATGTACGCGTTGTAAGTGACCTCTCCAGCAAGTATTAACAGTAACACACCTTGGTTTCGGCAGGCCATACGAAATCCACCTGCTATCTCGGCCAGAACACGGCTATCCCAACATTCCTCGCCTCCTCAGGCTTGCCGAAGTCGCCAAACGACACCATCTTCTGCAGCTCCGGGCCTGGGCGCTCGATATTGTTTTCGCTCTTTGCCTTTTTCAAGCCGACGACAAAGGTAACACAACGAGCTATGTCGACTCAGAGTTGTGTAGCGACACCCTGCTGTGCATCTTGTTTGGAGTAGCAAGGAATGAAGGGCGAGACGATGTAGTGGCACGGCTGCTTGAGAAGATGGACATAGAGCGTGTGGATGAGTCGGATTCGGCAGGGTCAAGCCCAAATGGAAGGAAAGGTGAACGGCTGGAAGAATGGGTAGACTTTCACGATATAATGGATGGTCCTCCTGGGATGGGGTCAGAATGAAAACTTCATATTCCTATAGTATTTGCGTACTCTCAGACGAAGAGCCACGCCCTGAGAGGGTCAGCCACCTTGAGAGAGTACCAAGAAACGACATACCACGTATAGTATATCTTTCCAAGGTTGTGGTTGGTCTCAGGCTTATGAGTGAGTTGGTATGGCTGTGGTTCTATGAGACTGCAAAGTAAGTTCAAAGACTGCCGTTAGAGCATCGAACACGCACACATGAAATGGCCCGTTCCCGGCAGGTCCGCTACAGCTCCAGCATCCAAATTGCAGCGGCATATCATAGCGCGTGCTCTAGTTGAGCTAGTTCAATGTAAGCACTGAGTAGCAACGGGTGAAGAAGGGATACCTCATTCAAACGACCACAGAACGACCAGGTGTCGCCGAAAAAAAGAGGGAATGATCGTCGGGTCACGCGTGTCACTCTTCTCCACAAACAATCAACTGCACTGTCTACGAGAAGAGTTGTGAGCCAGAAAGTGTACTCGTTTGCGGCCTGGAGTCTACGCCACCTACAGGAATATGAACTCCGACTCAATCAAAACGCTTCTTGCGTGGTGCTTCTCTCGCAAATTCTGGATTGACCCGCGCATTCGAATCGTTTCTGGCTCACATGGCGTGGCTGTTGTTTCCGAAGACATTGAAATTCCCACAGAAACTACTCGTATGCCTTGGCTCGCTCCTTTTTACTTGCTGACTGTCAACCACAGTCGTGCATATTCCGCGTCAATCGGTTCTCTCTGTGAAATCCTCTCCCATATCGGACCTTATACCTGCCAGCCCGTACGGACGCGCTGCCCAATTGTCTCTAGCCTTGGCGCTCTCTGTTGAGATGTTTGTACTTCGTGGTGCTTCTCTTGATATAGTGATTGAGGCGCCTTTCAAGTGCGAATGGAGAAACGTCTGCGTGGCATGGCTATCTGCAATCACTGCCTCGAGACCTCCCTGGGCTGTTCTGGGTCGGTGGCGCGGGCGACTTCGACATGGAACTACTGAATGGAACAGAGGCAGCGAAACTCTTGGTCAATTTAGTGGTAGTTGGCTTCATTAATCGCTCTTTTCTTTCCTGCTAATACAGTCTGCAGGAGGAAGTAGACGAATACTACGACGAAATTGCGGCCTCAGTCTTCTCTCAGCTGCCGTTATCTCCGCCGAGTCTATCGGAATTCCGTTTTGCCTACGGTTTGGTCTCCTCGCGTGCCTTTTTGGTGGACTCCTACCATGGGCTTGCAATGGTCCCAATAGCTGATGCGTATGTGCAGTTCAACATATTATTTGAATTGTTGAATCAAAGCCAGATTCAACCATATTCAGGACAACCATATTCACTTGGAGGTGCGATCCACATTTCGCCGAGTTTTCCCATCTTGAAATCGACAGCGTAGAGTGATTTCGATGTGTGTCCTGAATGTGGCTCACTCAATCGGTGCCTGCATGATGACCATAACGACTCGATCGACGAAGAGGCACAGCGCAACGAAGACGACTTTTATGAGATGGTCTCCAACAGGACGATCGGTCCCAACGAGGAAATATTCAACACATATGGTGACTCTTTGAGCAACGCGCAACTATTCGTGCAGTACGGATTCATCCTGGATGTCAACGAAAACGATTGCTTGACTTGGACGGCGACAGACCTGGCGCAATTTGTGGACTGTGGCCGAATCGAGACAATAATGCCTTCCCTTTCTATACTGCCTTGGGAATTGATAGAGGAATCCGAAATGGTATATCGGGACGCTCGATTCTCACTCAACGACGATGGTTCTATCTCGCATTCGCTGTGGCTGGTCTTCGCGTTCCAAGTTATCATTCCCACAACTCCCATAAATGGTCTTGTGCCACGACTCGAGAACCTGTTTCAGCGCCAATTAGCGTTGGAACGGTCAATCACAGAGGGAACGCCACTAAGCCATGACGACGAAGACGATGCCATTCTCAAGCTGGCAGAACTTCTAGCGTCTCTGTGCCGCGCGCGCTATGAGAGGCTGTCCGCAGGCAACAAATCAAACGAGGAATTGGGAGATCTGCTCGATGTAAGCTTTTACACTGTTCCCTCTCACTGTGATTGATATGCCTTTGTAATACTCAGACCTTCTCGGAGGGCAGTCCAACGAGAATGGCTGTGTCGCTCGTTCTAACTGAACGATCGTTGTTGGACAGTTGCATGGCGTCGTGGGAGGCGTTGACGCTCGTCTCACCCACCAGCCACAACTACTGAGGTCCCCGCCTGAGGTCGTTCCTGGTAAGCCCGAATATAACTCGTCCATTTCTGGTCCTTACTTCCCAAAAGCTAACCACGATTGCAATGTAGGGAAATGGCGCATCAAATGCAAGTTATTTGTGCATTTTCTGTGCCACATTTACATCGAAAGCGACGGGCGATCGGCTGCTTTGCTTGGACAGAGGCGCAGGGCTTGGATCTAGACGCAATCTATTGTCGGGTCCGCGACGAGCCTCGGAATAAATTCGCTGGATTATCTCAGCCCTTGTGGTCCACGGAGACAAATGCAAGACCAAGCTCATTCTGGGCAAGCCCGGCCCACAAGAGGAGACACCGCTGCGCGTGACATTGGTACCAGCCACTGAGAGCTAACCGCCCGCATGGAGACTTCGAAGGCTTCTCCGCCACACCCTCATCACCGAGGACGATCGGGAGCGGACGCGGCCGACAAGCCTGACATGAAATCTGTTTCGGACTTTGAATCAGAACGACAGCTCCATCCAGGGCCCGCCACGCTCACTCGCTGGCATTTGCGCACGTTATGCCTGCCTGCATGCTTCTCTTCTAATTTTTTCTAACTATACATCTCCCAGCGCGGGATCTGTGGCCTGTCAGCTGTCGTGAGATCCTCCGTCCTTTGCGCTGTTTTGACGGCTTTGCCGGCCTTTCAGAAGTCAAAAACACCGTCAAGGAGAATGCTTGCATTGCCGGATGCTGGCGACATAGTCATCTTGCTATACTGATTTCTCAGCATTTTCCTATGATCCCTTGCCAAGTGCCGAGCAGATATATTTGCCGTTCGTCTTTCGCTCAGTCGTCGCCACGTCGGCGCCACCATCGCTCCCGTCCACAGTCAGAAGTATCTACTCAATTCTCCAATAACGTTAATCCAACGGAGAAACGGAGCGCCTCCCGCCTGTGGCCCGCCCTGCGCGCCTGTCTCGGTCACCAGACTTTCCTCGCCGATTCCTTCAATCCTCTTCCTGCGATTCCGATTACTCACAACTCCCAGGCTCCCGGTTCGCAATCGAGACCAATTCAAACACGGACTTTTGCGGAATATATGTAAACCCAGGCAAATTAATTCCACCTACAGTACCCCAATACTACGGCTAGTTAGCTGGCATGAAGGGGGGCTTGGCAGTGGCTAACTAGCCTTTAGCGAGTGCCATCTGCCATGCCTGTCATGCATGATCAGCTTCTTTCTGAGAATAGCAACTCCGTGATGTAGCGTTCGTCCTAGTCAAGTCAAGGCAATCACCCACACGTCAGTGCTGAGATGATGCGTCAGACCAGATGAGCGCGCGTTAGTGATAGTTAGCTCGTCAGTGATGGGCGTTGATGAATGAGCTGAGGCGTCACACCTGACTTGCAACTCTCATGAACACTCCCACTGATCAAGATCTTCTCTCCTCATACTACGACATCTGGGAGGATGTTCGTACAAACAGGACACACCGAGCTTCAGACTCACCATCAGTTTGGTTCAAGGTTTCAAAAGGGCTGCATGCTGGGGTCTATACCTCATTGTGCGCCATTGTTCATGAATTCCTGGTTGTTACTGACACTATCTATCCAAGTGAGGAGGCCTTGGCTGCTTGGGAATTTCAGACAAGCATCCCTTTTTCACGGGACTACTGCACTGCCGTCTCTGAGGTGGCCCAGGCAATCTTTTTAGAGAAGCACACTGGTCCTATCCCTCCCCCTCTGCTTCAGCTCATGACTATCAAGACATTGCCTCCACCCAGAGTCTACCCCTTGCCTCAACCCACAGTCAGTGGAACAGCAACCCCACCTGCCTCTCCCCAGGCTAGCACAATGCAACTAGCACCCACAGCCAAGGAACTTGTGCCTGTGGCTCTGCCAATCCATCCAGCTGCTCTTTGGGTGGTTTCTGGCAGGAATGAGGTGCGCATCCTCAATGATAGGTCTGTATTTCCTCTTGACCTGCAGACATACCATTGACTAAGAAGAAGGGATCTTGCACAATGTGCTGCATATGATCTCAAGCTTGCAGGCCTTCTCACTAGTTTCTCTGAAGCCAGTTCACGTGATGATGCTTTTGCTTTCTTGAAGGACCAGGTGCAATTTATTTCTCAGGATGTACGGGCAAAGTCTGGAAGGTCGTGGGGTCAAGGGTGGGGTGAAGATTATTAGGGACCATGGTGTAGAATGACATCAACAGGACGACTGATATTTTTGCGTCAGCGATACTATAGCATCAATGATACTTTTGCATCAGCAATACTAAATGCGTCAATGATATTGTCGCATCAGCGATGCTGTGCACGTCAACAATATGCGTTTGTCAATATTGGCCAGATATCAATCACACATATCATGTGTTGTAGTCATGCAGACAATGTCACAGTAATCACAATCATACTGCTTGTCTCATGCCAATAACCTTTTCCAACACATTATCCAGTGGTTCCCGTCACTTTAATGGTGAAGAGCAGCCACCAAGGAGGGGGGGGAAGAAGAGAAAACTCCCTCCCATACAAACAGTCAATCAGATTGCTGAGAAGGGCAGGAGAGCACAAGAGCAAGCTAGAGAGGCACAAGAGGCAGCATATGCAGGTGTGTGTGCCTAGTATTCTTTCCCTCCGAACATATTTCTTAACTCCACTACTCTCAGCACAAGTTGAGAAAGACTATGAAGAAGCACGCAACCTCGGGGCCATCTCAGATGATGATGACTTCGATACTGGAGGCCCCAGCTTTGATCAGATTGATTCGGCGATGGATCAAATCGTGGAGGAGGATGCTCGTAGAACTGAGGCCCAGCGTGAGGAGGGTCGCAGGTTGATGGAGGAAATGATGACGACACTGAGGTACGTCCAGGTTAACGCGTCAGTTATCACCAGCGTGATAGCCATGACTGATGCGTCAGACATATTTGTCGTGTCAGTGATAGTGCTGTCACGTCAGTGATAACTGATTCGTGAGAAATGTGCCAGTTGACTGACCTGTCATTAGAGGGTCAGATATCCGAGACCGTAGTGATCGTATACAAAGGGTGGTTAATGGCTTCCGCATTGAAAGAGATCGCATGACGGATGCCTATTTGGATTGGAGAGCTGATCCTGCCTGTGCAGCAGCCCCATGGGAGCAAAAATGGACATCTGTTGGTGGTTCTTTTACCACTCGAGTTCATGTAGTGGATCTTTTTGGTATGTCGTTGTTGAGATTCCTTTCCTTTCTTTGACTGTCTATCAAGGCACACGGATGGCGCATCTCCAAGTTCCTCATATTGGCATGACTCTTGCTGCATGCTATGTGCGGATGGGACTTTTTCCTTGTACAGTGGAGACTATCAATACTGTTATCACAGTTCGCGCCCTGGAAATGTATCGCACTCTTTCTCTCCGCTGCCCACGTCTTGGAATCCAAGCATTTTGTCGAGCCTTGTGTGATATGAACCTGGTCCAATGCAACTCCAACTTTCCGGCTCTCTTTCGCACTGCCCTGGATGCATATCTTGATATTCGGGCCGCTGCTGATGCGCGATCTGCTGCTGCACTAGGTCGTGATGCTCCCAATTGGCGTATCCAAAACACTTGCCCTTCATTGCCAATACTGCCTCCAAGAAGAGACACCACTGGAGCCTGAAATGGAGTGTACAATTGATGGCAACAACAGCCTGAAGCGCTTCACTTCAGGTGTACGGCAGGAACGACTGGATGACCGTAAAGCACCAGGGGATTATTTCCTCGATCGGGAGGAGGTTGAGAAGTGGGCCAAGGAAAACATTGAAGATCTGAAAGCCCAGTATGAGGAAGAATTGCGCAATGCAAACTATCAGCCAGGCGAAGAACCTCACTGTCCTGACGAGCACTGGAAGAACATGCAGGAAAGTCTCACTGCCTTGACTCAACAGGCTTATGAGGAGACTGGAGTCATGCCATGTCTTTGTCGCCACAATTTTGGCTTCAAGTTGGTTGACATGGTTCGCAGTGGTGAGATGTATGTGGAATGAGTCACTGATGCGCTAGTGACACCTGACGCATCAGTCAGCACTACTGATGCGTGCGCAATTGGCTGATGCATGAGTGTGTTGACTGATGCATTGAGTGTCGCTAGCACATCAGCCATATTTTTTTTGTGACTTCGCTGATGTGTCATTTTCTAGGTTCAAGTATGGGCTTGCAATTGTAAACCATATGGCACGGACTCTTGAGCGGTCAATTGCTTTTGGTTATGACATTGGCTGTACCTTTGGTAAGGCTGTCAGGAGCCATCCTGTGCTGGGGCCTCTGGCACACAAGTACCGAATACAGTTTTTTGGTCGGCTCCTTTCATGGAACTGGTCACTCACGCATCTGTCAATGCCTCAATCTTCCACGGTACCGTACTGGGGTTGGTCTGGAGTTCTTTACTGTACCTTTGGTAAGGCTGTCAGGAGCCATCCTGTGCTGGGGCCTCTGGCACACAAGTACCGAATACAGTTTTTGGTCGGCTCCTTTCATGGAACTGGTCACTCACGCATCTGTCAATGCCTCAATCTTCCACGGTACCGTACTGGGGTTGGTCTGGAGTTCTTTGAAGGCTGTGAGGCTTGGTTCTCCAAGTCCAATAACCTTGTCTCGACAACTCGCACAGCCACTCGCTTCCACTGTCAGCAGACTATTGTGCAATATATAGAGCATGCCAACAAAAGGGATGCATATGGGGGACTCTGTGAGTCAGGCTTCATTCCTCATTTCTTACTGATTTGTGTTATGTATCTTAGCCAGGTTATTGGTGACAAAGTACAAGGATGCAGTTTCTATCCTTGCACAAGAGCCTGTCCTTGAACGTCTCCTTCACCAGCTTGGAATACCACGAGAGCAGCTTAATAGTTGGATTCAAGCTGAGCATGCATTTCTGGCAGGCCTGCAGAAGGAGCTACCAGCTGAGACCACCAAGATGGAGTACTATCATGCCTTGCTTAAACTTGCATCCACTCAGTATGTGCTACCTTCTGGGACTTTCAAACTACAGATTAACTAACAGCT